AATACTAGTCCATGCTTGGTAAGTCCACATTAAGTGGAAGCATGTCATTTTCTATATACCAAAACACTGAAACCTCTGTCTGTATAAACACAAAAATCAGTAAAAAAGCATATGTATAACTGATAATATTTGTTTCTTCTCTAGCTGTTTTTATACACAATCCATGCTCAAATTAGGGCAATCCTAGATTTTTTTATAATAATCAACACATAAGTTAGAATTAACACACCATTTGTATTTTCATCAAAATCCGAAAATGCAGTCTCAAATCAGGATAGTTTTATATCTGTTATAATGGGTTATCTGATCTAGACTTAATTGTTTGCAGGTTGCAGTCTTACTAATACTACAGTGTAGTGTTAGACAACAACCTACTGCTTCATGCAACTTGTGTGTGTTGCCAGTGCAGTAGGACACACTTTTTGTAGACACCTGTTATTAGCGCTGATTTCTAGTGATCATACAGTTTTCGCTGCTATTTTGCCTATTATCCCACTGGAATCTGATTAGAGAGAGAGAGAGATGTTATGTCACTATGTCTATGCACATTAATAAAGTCATTTGTTTCTGTTACCAGTATGTGATCTTAATATGCCTAAAGAAATGTTTTCTGGTATTTGTTTCTGTTCTAAGATCTTAACTTTCCCTCCCTTCCCTCTCACCCCACATATCCATCAGACTGAAGGAATTTTAAATTTCATACAAGATTGTGCAGAAGATGTTGATGGGGTTTGGTAAAAGTGGCATGACCTACATTGCAGGTGCTTGCGAAAGTTCAATCATTCCCTACATAACTATTACGACTGTTCTGGGACTATTTCCTAACATTGGGTCTCATCCATCACAATTCCTAGCAAACAGAAGGGATTTAGTTCTGTTGTCGGTACTGTTTGCTGTGGAATGAAAGGTGACATAGTGTTTCCATGTGTCAATATCATGCCATGTGCCATATCCACAAAACCAATTGTATTTTAGCAAAATTCAGTTGAGCGTTAAGGTACAGGAGAACCCTATTTACCATATTATATCATCGTTGCATCCTATCAATTTAAAATCCCTTCCTTATGTTGTTTTGACACCACAGACAGTGACCTAGTCTGTGTCACAGTCCCTGAACCACATTATTTTCCTTTCTGTGTAGCTCTTTATGCAATGCTAAACCCCTAAATTGAGCAAGTCTAGATTTCCTCAGCTTCAGGTTCAGGTTCAATCTCACTGGGGCTCCTTTTCAATTTGAAAAGAATTGTTTGTTTTTGTCAGAAATACATATATTCAGAGACCAAGCGTTAATCTAGTCCCATGAACATGAAGAAATCTTTCTGATGACTGTTGTTCCACCAGGAGGGGAGGATAGATCAGTATGTTTCCCACTGCTGGGAATGTATTATGGCATGAATGTACACCTGGAAACCTGTTCGTAGTGAGGTGGCAAACTGCCATGCCTATCTTTAACATTTAATATGCGAAAAACATTCTTCCATTGACCCTCCTCGCTCCACAATTTCTGTTTTGATGATGCAGTAAATGGTTTCAAATGGGATAATTCTGTTCAGGAATGCTTCCATCTTTTCCAAGCATTCCATGTATATCCAGGCTGCTTGTCTGTCATTACCTTCAAAGAGTGGTTTAATTTACCTAGCAGAATGTTAATGTCTTTATGCCATAAGGTGTGTGTTGTCAGGAAAGGTATTTTTGGTTTCACATAGGATGTTATTGTGAATACCATCTTATCATATTGCAGGTATTACACTTTGAAAGAAGAATGACAGTTTCCCAGTTAGTTATTTAGAGCGATATATGCAACTTATAGGTTAGTAGGTTAGTGCAACAAAACAAGTATTTGGACTCATGAATAATCTTTTACAGTTGCAGCAAGAATTGGGGGGGGGGGATATTTGCTTCAGTGATGATTATAGCGATTGTCTTTTGTCGTCTCTTTATACTTAAGAACATAAAATACAGCTATCATTAGACTTTTGTCATGTCTTCTTCCATTTTAAGATGTATACATAGACTCAATGCAGTTTTTAGTTCAAAATACCAGCATGTGTAGCTGTATTGTTTGTGTACATATGTCAGCTGCATTTCAGTTGCCTAAGCGTGAAGTCATTGCATCTTCAGTTAAAGTAAATAATTCAGCAACGTTTTGTATACCAGTATCTAATGTGGTGATGACATGTGTGTATATCAAGATGCTGGAGACAGTTCACTCCTTTAGAATATTTAATCTGAAGTTAAGTGATATAAATGATTAAGACAGTTAGAGTTATGAGCTCATTTATAATCTTTCAATACATTTGTTTAGAACATATCGCTCATGTCAGCTGAAAATAGACACTGTAAAATAACATTTCAATTAATTTTTACTTGAAGATTTAAATGAGTGTCATATAACTCTTACACATTTGGTCAATGAATGTTACAACATTTAAGGCCTCATTAATATTTGTAGAACAATATATGCTAAGCATGTGGAGGACATTGTCAAACTGACATGTCATATACAGAAATGATGTCCCATTTAATGCCTTATTTTGACTTGTACCATACCTTAAATTTGGCACTTTTTTAAGCTAACAATTGGCTTCCCTTTTATGTATATTTTTGATGAAGGTGACAGTTGGGGCAGCATATAGTCACCTTTTCACAAACACCTGGTATTCGATAGTGAATCATAAACACCTGCTGATGATTTAGTCAGAATTGTACAATTAACTCTGCAGAGAGTTTTGTTACTTTTCTTTGTTATTGTTAACTTCATCATGGTCCGTAATTACAGTAATTGTAGTAGGTCCATTGTAAAGCTGCCTGTATACATTTCTAGTGTAACATTTGATTCTAAAATGACTTTCTCTGTTGTATCAGAATATCTTGAGACAAAACTAATGCATGATAAAATTAAAGAATACAATTCAAATGATAAAGTAAAAATGTCAATCAGTACCAGTACCGGTATGTCAACCTACTAATGTGCAAATTATAGGTGTTGATTCAGAATGGAGCATATATAATGTATGGCATCTTGAGTTTAACAATGTGGTTGTCATTTCAGCTTTAGTCAGCTGCGTCAGTTTCGTATCTATGTTCTTGCTTTATCTGCAGATTTTTTGTTTTGCTCACAAAGAGGAAAACAATTTTCTCATTGCAGTCTTCCTCAACACTCTTATGTCAGACTGCCAACAAATTACAGCTTTCGAAATCATTCATCACAAATACCAGGTTAAACCTGTTACCAGATTGCACTTCAGAACAGCTTGAATCTTGTCAACCTTTTCACTCTTATCACACTTTACAATCAAACCGATCATTCAGGACATTGATATCATTATTAGTTTGAAAAAGATATTTATTTTGTGTTCAAAAAATGAATTTTAATTTTGACTGCTTGATTGGTGGTGGTGGAATTGGGTTTAACGTCGTGCTTGAGAATATTTCGCTCATATGACGACGTGCATGCGTGTGTATGTGTATGTGCAGCTGCTTGTACTAGCCCAGACTTAAGCTGGTTTTATAGTGCTATCCCACTGAGATACCATGCCACAGTGAAGCATGAATACCCCACTCAGACACATTATACTGACTCTGAGCCGACCAGTCCTTGTTGTACCCATTAATGCCGAGCGCCAGGCAGGGACCAACAAGTACCATATTTTAACGTCTTTTGGTATGACGCGGTCGGGGATCGAACCCGTGACCTTCCGCACTCCGGGCGGACGCTCTAACCACTACACGCTCTAACCACTACACCACGGAGGCGGTCTTTGACTGCTTGAAGCTATAGACCACACTGAGGTATTACAGGCAAACAACACTGTGCCCTGAACATAGATTTTCCAGAGAACACTATCTTTACCTAAAAGTTCAACATGAGTCAGATTGTAAAACATAAGTAGAATGGTTATTACTGCTCTGGTATCAATGATTTCAGTAAGTGGCAAATCAATGAAATTATGAAATTCACAAATTAGCGACTTGAAATTCCTGTGGAAAAAGTGGAAATGTGGACAGTCTGATGTATGGATCCATGTTAATGAGGTTCATAACAAGATAGAGATGTACAATACATATGTCATTGCAGCCCTACATGTCAGTGGTGAATCAGAGCATATTACAGTGGATAATTGGAGACTGGTTTACTCATGGAAGGATTCTCATATATATTGTGTTCAGTTCCTGTACTTTCATTGTTATACTTTTAACACAATGGGAGGAGAGAATGTTTTCTGTAAATTCTCATGTAACAAACTCTGTACATGGGCCTCACCAATATATTTGGATGGATCAAAGCTTGCTGGAGAATGCAGATCCAACAATACTACAGTTTATCAAAGTGGTCTGGCTCAAGAACAGTTTTCATGACCTTTAAATGAACTTAGTTCTTTCGACACCTGACACCTGTAGTTTTAGTTGGATGGATGACAATATTAGTCCACCATTTGATATGAAAGCATTTCCTACCCTCCAAACATTCTCACTTCTTTTATTTTAATGGTTGAAACTATTACTGACCATAAAATTTAACTGAAACTGTTCTCAAACATTGACCTTGGATGTTTCAGAGGCATATGTAGGTTTGTTTAAACACATGCATTCACAGTAAATTCCTTGTCAATTTTCTGAATGTTCATGGAGAAATATGTTTGTTTGAATGGTAAACAAGTTAATAATTTTACAAGAATAGAAACACGATTTCAAAATATTGATTTTATCAGTGTCTTATGTAGTTGCTTTCAGTGATGTTTGAGCTGTTCTTGTGCAGTAGTTTGAATATTTGGGACATAAGGATACTGGTTGTTGTAGCTTTGGATTTATAATATTGATACCATAAGTGTCATATTTGTTGTACTTTTGAATATTGCCTCTGACAATGACTTATATGAAGGATGCCTTTTCCTTGCCTAATTATGACAGCATAAGGTAGTATACGTTAATTAAACGATCAGTAACCAATACTGTAGTGAGGATGTTACCTGAAGGCTAAGTTTGGACTTTGTTTGCAGGTGTGTGTCTAGAAGCTATTGGAGAAGCCAAAGTAGAATGGATGACCTCAAGTGACATACAGGCCTCAGACGAGGAGGTGTTCAACTATACAACTGTGCTGCCAATCAAAGGTAATTGTGACAACAAGCACAAAACTCTTTCTTTGATTAGAAATCCATAGCCCATTGAATGATTCCATATACATTCATCAATAATACTGCATGTAATGTTCAAAGATTTTGCTTCCCCAAACTAATTATCATCTGATTCACCAGTGTGTCTGAAGAGGATTATCCCTGATGAATCAGGACACTCGATAGTGATCGCAGCATGTACTCAAGACATGGAGGTCATGTATCGTGAGCACTTTCTACCATGTGCTCAGCTTAGAGAAGCTGAAATGAATTAATTGAGGTTATTTACATGCATGGGAACATGTTTAATCATTGGAAGCATCAACAGGTGCACTCTTCTTGAGAATACACACTGCACTATTCAGGCCCTCGATCAGAAGAGGAACATTTTTATGGATGTATAATTGGATAATGGTCATCGGAGGCATCTTTATAACATGCTTAACTAAACAGGCTAGGCAACCTACATATTGTTTGGGATATTTTATTGAAATTGTGTGCACAGTCATTCACACAACAACATATCCCCAAAACATTCATGATCTGTGATGGGTAAGTATAAGAAGTCTTTATATTTGGAGGATCTCTTTTACCGGAAAATGTCTCAAATTCTGGTATGTAGATTTGTAATTGAAGAAATGGTGTGAATTGAAGAAATTTTAATCCAATATGATCTAGACAAAAAACATTCTGACACTCAGGTAGCAGGACTTTCCTAAATCAATTATTACAGCAGTAGTAATTAATAGTAGAATGTCTATTCAGCTTAAAATTTTGAACAGTGAACATTATACCTCTTCTGCTTTACTGCATGATGAAATACTGCATGCACAACAACCAGGAATCATGTAGGTTCTTTGATCCCAAAACCATTTTACGTCATCAGTTCTCTTAAACTGTTGGGGTTCGAGTTGTGTTGCACCGCTGGATCAAACTGTCTTTTTTTATGACCGAGATGTGTGTTCCGCCACCTGCAGAAGGCAGTCTGTGTTGATACAGTGTGATAGATCCTGCAATCTCTTCTCCTGATTAACATCATCTCAATGATGGAACCCAGCATCAGGGTAGCCCCAGAGATGATATCCTTGTCAGTGATATCTTTCACTGAGGTATAAAATAATCTTTTGATAGGAGGTGAGAAAAACCACTAAATTTGCCAAGAAAGGAATACCTTAAAGGATATAGCACTTATTCAAGTAAAAGTCTATTTTATTGATTACTACTGTTTTCATTGTTATTGTATTGACAGCTGTATCAGATTTCCCCTTTCATTAAGTTGTTCTAAAATAGTTACCGGTATGCTTCGCTATCATGGCTGGCACCTCTGTGGTGGGAAAATCCAAAGAAGATAAAGAGACCTTTTGAATTTAATATGTATGTAGCATACAAACTTCACAAAAAAGTGTCTAAGGTGCTGCACTTCATTGTACAGAGTTCTATCCCTTGGGCACACCAGGAACTTTTGATCATTGGTTTACTGTTCACCCTTATTATGTTTCTAGGTGTGTCAGCAACCCACGCGCGCTTGTTAGTTTCACCAAAATGGCACACATCTGAGATCTGCATTACATGGGGCTTTACTCCCATGTTAAGCTGACACACCTTGATATAACTGGAATACTGTCAAAAAAGCTAAACTGTCTCATGCTTATTATCATCATGTTTAGTAAGATTGAAAGTGAACAGTTTCCTCAATGAACTGAAACAGTTCATTTTCTAGGACATTTAAACTGATTGTCATCCAAAAGCTCTGAAAGTATTTTGCAATTGAAGCAAAAATATAGAAGAATGACTTTCAAAATCTGCCCAAAAATGAAATTATCATGTTAACGTTTGCCCAGCAGAGTGACTACCTAACTTAACTTGGAGCAGGAATTTGAGGGAAGGTGTTTTTGAGAGATTTATGTATTATAAGACTTAAAGCACTTTTCATAACATTTTTCAGATATTAAACTGGAACATATTCCAACAAATTTAGAAGGTGAGTGTGATCACATTAATAAATTCAAGGATCATTAAATAGCAAAATGTGATCACGTGATCATCTCTGTGGAGTATGCACTATTCAAATTAGCTGCCAGGAAATTATGCACTTTAGTCGAGTAGAATCTTAGTTGTTTTTATTGGATTAAGAAAGCAATTGATTATCACATTCTTCTTTTCCTTTCAGGTGAAAAACAAATTGATGATGAAGGATTGTTACATCCAGGATCTCATTACTTTCCATTTGAATTTGTTCTTCCATCAAAACTGCCATCTTCATTCAAGGGAAAGCATGGCAGATTGCGGTATTTCGTGAGAATGACAATTTATTCCCCTGGTGGGCCCCATCACGAAAGAACAAGTAAATTTGCTGTTATTGGAGCCCTAGACCTCAACTCTGAACCAGATTCTGCAGTAAGTGTTCATATCAGCCTGTTAAGAGTGGTCTTCTATCGCTAATAACACTGTTCAATACCAATATGGTGCTAAAACCAATGTGAAATGTGTCACTGTTTTAATCTATGAAATCAAGTAGACATCATAGTCCATCGAAATACATGTATCAGCTTTCATTTTCTCTGATATATGCAGCTGAATTTATTGTGTATCATGCTTGCATTTTTTTTCAATTCTCATGTCTAGTGGGCACAGCACTGTATATAATGAAAGCAGACTCAAGTTCTGATTTCATTTCTCAAAGCCAATAAAAATTCATTGGATTTTGGATTTTATTAAATGTTAGGTGTATTGCTTGCTCCATTTTACCAATTTAATCAATTTTGTTCAGATCCTCTGTCATGTATACTGCGAAAAGGTTGTGTGAACTGATTCACAGATTCTTGGTATATTTCACACCCTCAAGCGACAGTAGCTTGGTTTATGAATGATGAAATGATATGTCATAAATGCCATAATTTGACTCCAAATACACCAAACATAGATATTTGTGGGTTTTTTAAGTATTGTAAGTCAACAGTTTGCTGTGTGGTTTCAGGGGATTGTTTGGTCTGTCCAATGCCTAAACATTTACCGTGATTTACAAAAGTGCAACACTGAGGATTTGTTTTTAGTTTGAACTCAAGCTTGTTTCCATTAATGTCGTCGTTGTAGTTGGATTCAAAATTGTGTTCCATGTTTTGTAATATTATATATTTGACTTTGTTGTGACCATTCATTTCAATTCTGAGGTGGTGGGGTAGCCTAGTTGTAAAAGCGTTTTCTCATCACGCCGGAGCCCGGGTTTGATTCCCCACATGGGTACACTGTTTGAAGCCCTTTTCTGGTGTCCCCCGCCACGATATTGCTGGAATATTGCAAGAAGTGATGTAATACCCAACTCACTCACACAATTATTCACCTGATATCTTCATGCTATCCATTATCATCAAAAGTATACTTATATATTCATGTGGCGTAAAACTCACTCACTCATTCACATATATATTTACTCACTCACATATGCTCTAATGAACTTACTTAACCTGACCTTGAACAGGCTGCTATATTTCTCATCATAGTTATCATGTTGTGTTCAATTTTCCTCAGTAGTTATGTCAATGCTGACAGAGTCTTTGTTAACATTTCAAACTGTTTGCTACATGAGCAGATGATCTACATTGCCTTGGAAATACTTTTTACATTATATAAATGCAGCAGCTGAAATATTCCTTGTTCCATACAGTTTTACTTTCTTCTAATCTTTGCATTATTTTTGGTATTTAAACTAAATTGAATCCCTGATAAATCACATGAGGAATGCATATATGAGGTGATTGCCATGGCTGGGCTATTTTGCCAACAACCCTTTCATGAGAATATATACAGCGTTTAGAATTGTAAAGTATCTTTTCTGACGTTATCCGAATTCATAAAATTTACATTTATATTGATGTTTTGATATAATTTGTAACATCCTGTTCTCTCCTGTCAATGCTTTCATCTGAAGAAAAACGATGTTGTTTTTGATTAGATGGCATTTTTCCTCAGAATCATATCCCCAGAATAGGAAGAGTACTATATAATATATTATGGTTAAATCATGCTCAATGAAATTGTTATACCAGTGCATATTTCCTAGTTTGTAGCCATGACACTACTCATGTAGTCCCTTCAATAGCATGTTGTGAATGTAAAACTTCTATAACAAATTACTTGCCTTTTATAGACACCATGAGTAAATCACTGTGTCAGAAACCTAGTCACAAACTGCCTCACACAAATCCATTGACACGCAAGAATATTTGTTAATTTAGGTTTGTTTTGCCAGACATGTTAAATCAAGATGTATTGCTAAAGTTGTTTGCTTGTTTGTTGTTTCATACCGAACTAGACACTATTTCAGTGATATTATGGCTGATGATACTTTAATCACTTGTGTTATGTTATTGTGCCCCTTGTTTTGGTCATATTCTTTTAAATCTTTCAGCCTTTGTGTATTGATGGCTTCCTTCAATAATTTAGGAAATAATTACAGGAGTATAATGTTAGTGTTCCAGACTAAATGGGGCGGTGGGGTAGCCTAGTGGTTAAAGCGTTGTCTCATCATGCCGAAGACCCGGGTTCGAATCCCCACATGGGTACAATGAGTGAAGCCCATTTCTGGTGTCCCCCGCCGTGATATTGCTGGAATATTGCTAAAAGCGGCGTAAAACCAAACTCAGTCAGTCAGTCAGTCCAGACTAAATGATCGACTTATGATGAATTAATGCATCATAATAGTATGGCTTCTGTAGGAATTCGCAGTAGCAATCCGAATTACTAAAAACCTTCTTCTAAGGTGAGGTGAAATTGGGTTTAACGCCGTGCTTGAGAATATTTCGCTCATATGACGATGTGCATGCGTGTGTATGTGTATGTGCGGCTGCTTGTACTAGCCCAGACCTTAAGCTGGTTTTATAGTGCTAGCTCACTGGGATACCATGCCGCAGTGAAGCATGAATATCCCACTCAGACACATTATACTGACTCCGAGCCGACCAGTCCTTGTTGTACCCATTAGACCAACAAGTACCATATTTTAACGTCTTTTGGTATGACGCGGTCAGCGATTGAACCCGCGACCTTCCGCTCTCCGGATGGACGCTCTAACCACTACACCACGGAGGCAGTCACCTTCTTCTAAAACTTTGTTTGAAACTATGCGTATACTTGTACACTGGGACAAGGTTACAGACTGCATGGCAAAGAATGAATGTGTGGTTCGTATATATGAATTAACCTATTAAATTATTGTGACAAGACGTATCACTTTCAACTTCCTTCTTTAGTCTGCTTTTACATGGCTGCTTCTTGTGCTGCCATCATGGTGTAAAGACCAGGTTTGGTGACAGTCACTGGATTGTCTGGTTCAGACTCCATTGTTAACAAACAACATCATACAGCAGTAATACTGCTGATACAAATACAGACTCATGATATAGTCAGAATTGTACTATCGAATCTGCATTTTGCAGAGATTACTGATGTATATGGAAAGGGATTTGTCATTTCTATTCAGTAATGGGCAACGTGGTTCTCTATGAATGAGCCTTTTGGTGTGCAAGGTAAAACCTCCTTTGGTTGACACATCTCTCTGATTTTCTGCAGCTGCCAGTTGAGAATGACACATTTGAGGCGGTTGGATCTTGGTGCTGTGTAGCTGGCACAGTAACTGCAACACTAAGACTTGATCGGAAGGGTTACACACTTAAAGAAGCCATCCCTGTGTGGGCGGAAATAAAGAACTTAAGTACACGGAGGATAGCAGCCACACAAGTATCACTAATACAGGTAGAGTATATGTGTCTGGAGTTATATACTCTTGTATATATAGCTGTTACAGAAATACATGGTTGAAATAAACTGTGTTTGTTAGTTTAGGAGGCGTTTATGATGTACAGTTGTAAAGAAGGGAAATACAAACAACAGCATCAGTTTGACTAAAGTGTAAGGGTATTTTAAACTGTATTGTGTTTTGCATAAGTTTTACATTCTGGATCACATATCCAAAGATCTGTGTTATCGTTATTGCTACAAAGTAAAATGTTTTAAACTGTTTGAGAGGCATTCTAGAAAATGTAAGTAATGGGAATGACAAGTCTGTATGGATGATCAACTTCTTTATTGTACAATAGCGACATTTTGGTATAGATACTTGTACCATTTTCAAGCTTGAAAATGGTATAAGTATCTATACCGAAATGTCGCTATTGTACAATAAAGAAGTTGATCATCCATAAAGACTTGTCATTCCTGTAAAACGTTTTGTCTTTATGGACATCACTGAAAAGAATGAATAGGTCCACTTATTAAAGATGGGATCTATGTTAAAAACAATACACCAATAATGTTGTACATCAACTGTTGAACTATCTTTGAAAGTACTTTCTTGTAAAGTGTGTTATTTGCATAGCAAAACATTGTTACCATTCCTATTATGTACAATTATTTATTATAACCTGACTAGTTATGAACAAATTTGATAAAACAAACTTAGTTAGTTAACACAATATTAATATCAAGGTGTACATTTTATGAAAAAAGCATAATTATTTCTCTTTTTGTGATGGATGGTATTTTCAAAACAAAAAATGACAGAAGAAAACATATTTTTAGGAAAAAGCAAATTCTATCTGTCAGATTACAAAATGATAGCTTACTTTTACTGGTTTACTTACTTGTATAAATAAAGCATCTCTGCAAAGAAACAGCAACTATTCTAAAGTGTGAATGGCCTACCGGTACTCACCTGGCGAGGAAGTTAGGAAACTGGATTTAGTAGCACCTTAAGCTGATCTCTTTTTAGCAACCCGAACCAGCTTCCAATTTGCAATTATGTTGCAAACATGTAAACAAAGTGACAACAACAATGATAAGCAACTGTCATAAACTTTGCCAAAGAAAATCCAGCCTTGCAACTTAAGCAGGCAACATCTGGAAATCTTCAGCAGTGCCTTACTTTTTCTGTTCTGAGTTGAAAGAGTGTTAATTGTCTGTCGACCACTGCAATTGTCTATCAAACTTGTTTTGGCAATTTAAAGTCTGTTTTAGGGACAAGATCTGTATCTTGACAATTGGAGGAGTTTGTTCTGTTTCAGAAATGCATAAAATGCATCAATCTTGAATTATCTTTAGGATTTATGCGATGTAGGTGAGGAATTGCAAAGTCAATGTAAAAGAGTCGATGTAGGTGAGTGGTAATTGCAAACATGTTCACAGACATATGTAAACCGTATATTACCGATAAGCCCAACCCCCATGATAAGACGACCCCAAACTTGACCCTTAAAATCAGTGTCAAAATGGTATGTTTCGGTAATCGTGTTACAACTGGCAGTTAATGACATTATTCAAAGAATTCACAATCATATATTGCATCTACTCACAGATCGGGCGAAGTGTAGTTGACAGATGCAATATATTTTGTTTCTCTACATGTTGTCAAGAAACTGGCTTCATTCAACAATATTTTACCGTATTGACTGCTAGTTAACATTAACATCGGTATGTGTCAATTTAAATGAATGATGTTCACCTTCAGACATATTTTGTACTACTTATGATAGTATTACCGGTACTGCACAATTTTATTATAATTTGCATCTGTTTACTAAACCCATAAGTATGCTCTGTATGAAGACACTGATGGTGTTTACTGTATATACTTGTGAACTATGAATTCTCAATAAGAGCTTAAGTAAACCGATATGGTTTCTTAACTATGATATCAGTCTTGAAATTTATGGAATGAAATATGGAAACATAAAAATTAGTTAAATATAAGATTGCATGACATAACAGTTTTCAAAAAGATTATCTGATCAAGTGAAAATGATCATTAACCTGTTCTGATCTCAGTAATATAAGTCAACACATATCCAACAATGTTGCTGATTAGCTATCAGTGTATGAACATCTGATGGTTAGATTGCATACTACAGCTGAAGGGGTCGTTGTCGACACAGATACTACAGATATGTACCCTAGGTATGTTTCTGTATACAAACTACAGAAATGTACCTGGTACACTAAACAACAGACGAGTCCATATTCGCAACCCAAAACCGAAACCATATGTAGTTGTCCCCGTTCAACTGCTTGTGAGTTGTATTGTGCATGGCAAACTATTTGTTAGTTTGTATGCTCATTTCTCATGTAACACAATCAAAAGCATCTTATACAACAGTATGACAGTTCTGATCAAGAAGTCTTCAGCAACCCATGCTTGCCACAAAAGCGACTATGCTTGTCGTAAGAGGCGACTAACGGGATCGGGTGGTCAGGCTCGCTGACTTGGTTGACACATGCCATCGGTTCCCAATTGCTCAGATCGATGCTCATGCTGTTGATCACTGGATTGTCTGGTCCAGACTCAATTATTTACAGACCGCCCTATATAGCTGGAATATTGCTGAGTGCAGCTTAAAACTAAACTCACTCACTCACTCACTCACTCACTCACTCTGATCAAGAAAACGATGCAATATGGAATTGAATCGTGGTACGGTTAGTTTCTATTTCTGACTTTCGTTACTGTATGTGTCTGTATACAGAAACGTACCTGGGGTACACGTCTGTAGTACCCGTGCCGACTACAACCCCTTCACCCATACTAAACATTCCATTTGCACATTTTTTCTTATGACACCCATAATGTCCAATGCAGAAAACAATGATGTGGCAAGCTTTTGAGCTGACACACATGCACATGCATGGCCAAATGGTAAATCAGCATTACCACCTGCAGCCTTGTGATGCTATGCTGCCAAGGCAGCCAGTCAGCACATTCTAAAAAAAGGCAATGTAGTTTGATGTCTTAAACACCCCAACAGTGTGCTGCTCTCTTTATCTACAGGAGTCATGTTTTTCTTGGAGTTGTGATCAAGCATTACAGCTACTGCTATGGTTAATGAAGACTCTCGTTTAACTCTCCTTCCCCTTACCCAGTGGTCGTGAAGGATGATTGCATTTACACATACCTGTCCTCAGGTGAAAATCATTATGATCTACAACCACCTTCAAGGTGAACATTCTTCTCCATGGGTTCTTCATGTCCTTCCTTTGTGGCTGGAGCTTCCAGTTGTGGAAAATAACATATTGGAATTTTACAAATGAAAAGTAAACAAGTTGTATGTTTGTAACCCTAAAAAGATGCTTCATTTTCAGGAAAAATATTTGTTATATATGTTTTTCAGGGATAATTCAGAGCACATGATAACTGGAAATCTTATATTTCCTGTCCGATAACAAACGCTATGTAAGGTGTTATCTTTCATGATGAATTAGTTGTATTGTCAGATAAAGTGAATACACTCATGAAGTAATAACAAGGACTTTGATGTTTTAGATGACTGACTGACTGAGTATGGTTTTATGCCGTTTTTAGCAATATTCCAGCAATATCACGGCAGGGGACACCAGAAATGGGCTTCACAAATTGTAGCCATGTGGGGAATCGAACCCGGGCCTTCGGCGTGACGAGCGAACGCCTTAACCCCTAGGCTACCCCACCGCCCCTGTTTTAGATGAAATAAATGTTACATGAAATAATGCTCATACTGGTTAGTGTTAGCTTTGTTGGAATCTTATTTGTCACTGAAAATATTGTTCCTTTTCTTGTAAGAATAATACATTCATTAATGAAGCATCAGTATTGGAAATGCATCATTTTGTCATATCCAAGAACATGAAATCAGGACAGGATAAGAGCATATCAGAAAGTGCAGTGGTATGTCATACAAAGCTGTATGTTATTAGCTGATGATGGCTTCAGTCCAGGCACAGAAGGGAACAGGTGCTCTTTGGCAGTGTTTGGCAGCACCCACACAAGTGAACAATATAAGTGCACAAGTTGAATAGGTTGTGGAATGTTGAAATCTAGGAGTGTTCAAAGTCAAGGTCTGCCTGTTCCAGTTCCTCATTTTCCTCCCAAAAGCATATATATTTCTGATTATATCTCTAGCTAAAGCTGATCATTCTATCTTCCAAACTAATGTGATAATATCAGTTATACCTTTGTATTTATGTGTGCCTTTGTCTTGCAGTATATGAATGAATTGGAAGGAACGGCCAATATCATCAAAGTTCTTGTTTTTAATCTGCATTTTTCTCATCATTGTGAACAGTACATCATTTAAATACTAAAGTTCTACAGTAATCACAGCTTAGCATACATCAACTCATGTTGTATTTTCTAATTTTGGTAGCTAATGTACCTTTTGCACATGATATATTAAAAGACAGGTAGAATATAAATGAAAGTAGATACTGATACTGTTTAGACACTGCCCCAGATGTGAAGTCATTGACTGTGGTATGACAACAGCCCTCTGTGTTACTTTGTCCAGCGCCGAATGGCTGGAATGCATGAAGTAACATGAGAAATTATTTGATGATGGGATATGGTCTTATATTTAATATATTATTCATCAATTATGTTTTCTTCTCATCATACCCGTGAAGGTCCAGGTTAGAATGAACCTTCAGTAACCCTTGCTTGCCGTAAGAGGCGACTAATGGGATCGGGTGGTCAGACTTGCTGGCTTGGTTGACACATGTCATCGGTTTCCAATTGCGCAGATCGATGCTCATGCTGTCATCACTGGATTGTCTGGTCCAGACTCTATTATTTACAGACTGCCGCCATATAGCTGGAATATTGATGAGTGCGGAGTAAAACTAAACTCAATCACTCACTCACTCACTTTTCATCATTATGTTTGGACTTTAACAAAACTATGTCTTGTAACAATCATTGGCTGGGGATGTTTAGTTATATATTCTTTCCATAAAAACAGACTTTCTTTTTAATATTACAGTCATGTTGGTCTCTTAACTGAATGCATACTAATTTAGTTACCAAAGACTTCTCAGTAAATTCCTTTGAAGAATGAACCTCGTGAAACGCAATCAGGAAATATTCAGGTCAATGTTGTGAAGTCTTAATGGGTAATGTCCTATTATTTAGTATGATCTGATTAGTCTACAGTCTAAATGTATGAACATTTGCAGAGTTTCTTGATAATGCAACAAACAAAGTTCTTTCACAAGTAACACACTGTGTATTACTTTGTCAGCCACAAAAGTGTCACTAACGTATGGATTCTATTGATAAAACACAGAAAAATAATGTGAATTCTGGATCCTTGACAAGAGGCGAGCAATTATATCATCATAAGTGGGCTATTTTTCTGATTCTGCTTCAAAGGCATCTTAATTAAGGTTTGAAGGTGAATTATTTCTTCAGTGTCTTTTGAAGAATTGGGCTTGGAAATTGAAAAATGATGATGACAGTTCTACAGGAAAGAAATGAACTCATTAGTGAGATGAAGGGTGACATTCCGTGAAATATTACAAGTAATTTAGATGTAACTATTTTAGGCAAGCCTCTTGAGCACAAGATATGGAAAAACAAAGTGTTTCAGTTACCAGCTCTTAGACTAAGCTGTCTGTCAGTGAGGTATCTGGCCAAAGGAAGATTTAGTCTGGCACAATTATTGGAGATGAACTGAAGAGCTAAGTTTGTAGGATGCACTTACTTTCTGGCATGGTGTATATTGACCCACATTTACTTTCTGGCAGGGAACTCACTGACCCACATTTGTCGGAATTATGATATTTTTACAACTTACAATGCCAGGCAGTTTTATTGAAAAGGTACAGACATTGATAACAAAGATTTCTACAGTTCTGATAAACAGAAAATGTAATGTTTCGAACCATCTTCAAAATCAAGACATTGAAGTTGCAGCTGGGTAACCTTAGGTTAACTTTACATATTATGTATTTATGTTTTAATAACTTTTGTACAAGAAAGTCTGGGTGTATATATATATATATACTTCTTATTTGTAACCTGGTGTTTTCTGTAAGGTAATCATGTGAAGTAATATATGCAGTGTTTTCCCATACAATTAAAGAGTTAAAGATTTCACTACAACATTTAAATAGCAGCCCATTTTATTAATGTAACCAGATTAATCAGTCTGAGCTGGTTGATAGACATAATTACTTAGCTTGCCACAATAGGCTTTTATAAAGCACCAAACCCAAAATAGGAAGAAAGAACTGGATGTTATAAGAGTTCATATCACCCACTGTGAAGTAGGTTGAAAGACATGACGAAATCCAAAAGGTCAGACATTTTGCCTTCTTTGGCCATCTCAGTCAAACATATTTATATTTAGGAGAAATCTTATATACTAGTAAATCATTCCTTTTTACACAAAAACTCCCCAAGAGACATGCAGTAACTCCAGTGTATCAGAGCAACCAAGAATTCACATGTAAAGGCTTCTCATAGTCACTGCTTTCTTCCAGAATGTAACCTACTATTCCTATCGAGGGAGATTTTCTGAGTCTACACTGCTAGTAACTGTTCATAAAGGCAGTATAGCCCCTCGTGGAAAACAGACCTGGCAGAGAGAGCTACTGAGCATTCCTACCGTCCCGCCTTCACATCTTAGAGGATGCAAGATCATTGATGTACAGTACAGTATAGAAGTAAGTTGTAGGCAAGCTGTGAGTTGAAGCATACATGGTACAACAGATTAATTATGTTTGTAGATATCGAAGTCATTCTTGTATAAACATCTTCATGATGTTCAAACCCAAGAAGTGACTGACCATTCTGAATATATTTGGGTTCATACTGTTCACAAGCATGTCTTTTAAGACTTGTTAAATTGTTGTTTATTGGAATTATCTTTATACTATTTTCAAAATTTTGTGCTACTTGATGTCAGATGGTAGAGTTTTCTGGAAACTTCCCAGTAAGTGTGTCGCTCATACAACATGCTACAGCAAGTAATGGTTTGTGGTAACCTGAGCAATTACCCAATTCCTTGCCCCTGTTCAGTTACATATACCCACAGGTGATATCTTGGCATGAGGCTGATACAACTGTCACTCATTCCCCAATTGATACAGACTTTCCTTCTTCCAGTTATGTATAAAACCAGCAGGACTGGCCCGGAAAGTGAAGCTGCCTGTGGACATTGTCATAGGCACCGTACCTCTCCAAGATGCACAACATCGAGTCACATGTCACCCACTTCTTTCACCCAGTGACAATAGCTTCCCGTTTCCATTCTTCTGTGACAGCTCATCAGACCACCTATGTTTAACAGACATGTCCTTCCACAGTATGCTCCCAACAGCTCCACCCTGGGAAGAGGATGACGATATTCCCTGACCGAGCTCAAGGCATATAGGTAATACATATATCCTAAATTACGTCATTTTTAGCGTAAAAACTTGTCCCAGACCCAGTAATTTACTGTACAGTTTAAGGGTGACTATTTCGGCTATTGGGACTATTGTCACTGTTGCAATGAAATTGCAAAAGTACTCAACACTATTGCAACAATATGGCATTAGTAGCCAAATAAAAATAGGATTGCGATAGTAATAAACCGACTTTAAGGCTTCATAACTGTATGAATGTTACCAGCATGAGTGAAATATGGCAGTCAATGTGTGCCATTTTCTTTCCCGTTGTTACTGTTGTAACCGAAGGGGTGTAACTAATGTGAAGCCTTGCTAATCAAACTGGACAGATATGAAAATCAACAGTAAAACCTGATATTTCTTCTGACACATAATTTATGTTTTATTTTAAGTTGGTGTTTACACATTCCTTTAAATGTAGGGCAAATAATTGCAATACATTGGTAGTTTATACATATAATACTCCTTTGATGTAGCTCAATTGAAGTAAGCTGGTATATGAGCACCGTACCCATGCTCATGGGTTTCAGTTAGATGAGAAATGTCCTTTCCAGGACCTTTCTCACATGATGCTGATTTTCTGATGTTAATGAAATATTGGTCAAAACGTTCAGAACTGACTGCTCTCAAACTCACAGCTTACTCCCTGCCTTTTTCTTTATATATAACTCATATTTTATATTCTTTTACTGTGTTGCGATGTTCCCATTTTGGTCCTGGATTGCCCAATGATCTTGCAGTGCCATATCTGACAGTAGAATCAGCAAGTTGTCTTTAACCCCAAATTCATCCAAAATATAAGTATCATGTCCTAGTTTCGCCAAAATGGCTGCCATTTTCACAAATCTTTTTAGCATTATGGTTCTGTGTATTTATGTAATTTACACACAACTTTTAGAAACTGAAGTTAATTAAATGCAGGGTTTGATGTTAAATTCCAAAGTCATCAACAGTGCTTTCTTCAGTTCAGAAATCAAAGATACCAGACCTAATTTGACCTCAAAGGAATTTTAGTTAAGTGCTTTGTGCTGATCCAGTTGTTTTCATGCTGTTAACTTCTAACCTGTTAACAACATGTTAGTAAACAATCCCAGTTTGAGGGTGATACCAGATCCAATTCTATACATGTGTAAATTACCTTTTACTGGCTTTGACTATAATGCTTAAATCGTTGTATCTTTAAGCTATACCAAGGGAAAGAATAATTAAATATTGAATAACTGAGGCGATACATATTTAAAGCTGTTGTTTCTCTGCTTTTCGATTTTTCCATTTTATTAATTCATCATTGTGTTTTTTTCCTCTTATCTATTGACCTGTGTCTCCGTGACCTCAGTTGATGAAAATGATAAAAGCATAATGCAAAAATGCCTGAAATCTGGCATACAAATCTGTTGAAAAGTTCCATAGTATCAAAAACGTGTCTCAATGGTAGAAAGAAAATTGGCTCACGAAGCACTATCAAATACAGATGAATTCCTTCCAGGTCCTGTGAGACACATATTAAACTGTCGTAAATATCTGCAAAACGTGGAGTCATTTTAATAGAAAATTTCCCAAGAGGCTCTAGGGGGATATTGATCTCCTTGTTAATCAAGATTGAGAAAAGTTTAAGAGATTTCCTATTTCTACACTGTCAATAATAAACACAAAGCTGTCTTTATCAAGGCCTGATGATCTGTCAGACACCATAACCTCATTATTAAAGGCATTGTGCGAAACAAACAGGAGACGATAATCACTGAACATCTATAAAATGTAGTTTTATGTCTGTTACATCAGCCTCGTACCTGCCAGAATTCTCTCACTAAGTACATGACTTCAACATGCAGTAATGAACTCTTTTATGTTAATGTGTAAGAAAGTATGTGGGAACTTTTCTATTTTCTGGTTGGTGGTTTTCCTCCATAAAATTGCAATTATGATTTTTTGTTTGTTTCTGTAAAGCTCATTGTAGCAGAGTTGAAAATGTCATTTTTGCTTCCTCTGATCATTTAAAATTATAACTAAAAAATATTAGATCCATTAAATCATGTGAGCTAACACATATTTAGTGTATTTTTGTGCATAATTTGAATAGGTTTGTGATTAACTATGGGGGATTTTCAAATTCTAAATACCGCATTTGGTTCATTGGACACTGAATCAAGGTTTCTCACTGAAATACAGTTGAAAGTAGTGTTTATCCTAACAACAAACTCCCAGCAATATTCCTAGAGTATCACCGTGTCAAGAATTTTCATTCTGTGATGGGTCAACACTTTGACGACTTGGACTCTCTTCAATTTTACAGTTTCTGAACTTACAAGTGCCTGAAATAGATATTTATTTGTTACTACTTTTAATCGAACTCAGGTGTACTGTGTTATATTAATGTCTTGGGAAATATTCATCTTTCCTAATGGTAATTTCAGCTGATTATATTTTAAATAATGTTTAATCATAGGGTGTGAGGAACTGTCTGAATTCAGCCTTAATGGAAGTTGATGTGAAAAATCAATGAAACTTTCCATGACCAATAAACTTTCACATGCAGCTTTTTTTAAGATTGACTGGATGAGACAGTGTGTCTGCAGATTCATGTTAAGGTGTTTCAGTGGAAAGATGTACAGTTAATGTCAACAGCGCCATTAACACATGCATTCTCAGTTCAGGATGAGGATTTTCTGGTGTGGATTAGATAGGTGCATGCTGTGTCAATCATGACAACAGGTCTGTCCAACACCAGCACAGTTTTTCATCAGGAAAGATTGCATGTGGCAGGATGTCTTGTATGAGTGGTGGGACTCTGAGTTACATGTGTCAACAGCAGGATGTACAACAGGTTTTACTAGCTAAATGGTCTTGTACACAAACGTTCAGCTTGTATGCTGTATTTATGGCAAATTGAGTGCTAACAGCATCGACTGTGATGCTTCCTCACACACCAACACCAGTGACATCATATCCATACTTTATGTGTTTGTCTGTCACACTCAGGAATTTTCCACCTATTTGACATAGGTCTATAAATAATTGACTCTGAACCTGACAATCCAATGATTGACATCATGAGCACTTATCTACACAGTTGAGATATGATGATATGCATCAGTCATGTCAGTGAGCCTGACCACCAAATTATATTGCTGCCTCTTATGGCAAACATGGTTTACTGAAGGCCACCTTTTAACCTGGTATATGGAATCAATGCCACATTTTCTCCAGACACCCTATTCCCTATTTCATTTTAATACTTATTCACAATCAAGGTTCTATTGTCTGTATGACATACCCACATAATGAATGTGTCATATCACACTTGCTCTGCTATCACAACACTAGTCTCAATCACTGGAGACATTTTCTGGTTAAGCTATCTGTGGCACAGTAAATGAGTTTGGGCGATGAGTTCTGGCATCGTTGGCTCAGTGTAAGTAAGTTGTCTGGCTATATGATGAAGACAGTCAGGCTTGAATCAGGAGACATTTTACTGCTTCATCTCAGCCAGCTCTTGCCCTAAGGGACTCTCTTGTCAAAGCTGCCAGTCCAGTCTAGCATAGAAATCAGAATACAGATAGAGAGTTGGTAATAGCAAGGTCGTATTTGGATCTCGGCACCAGGATTCTTCAAATGATACAACCCCTCAGGACATAAGTGTGTAGATGATTCTATTATCACACACTTTATGGGATAAAATCATGATATTTCAAAAACAATTTAAGTTATCATTCTTGAAGAAAGTTGAAGCTAAATTTAAGACAGACAATGATGTTAAACATGATATTCCCTTTCAGCTGACATGAACTAACATAAATGTTTGCATTTTTCAAATCTTCTCTAAAGCCATTAAAATGACCCCTGAACCTCTTCCAGACTACTAATGTACAATCATACAAAGTTTGATCCAGTGTTAGTCAATATGGAAATTACATTATACTATTACTATTACTCAGAAATGCAGAGGTACAGATAAGCTGCGTATCTGCGTTAATTACGCAAATATTTGTGTGAAACCTCAATTCTTATTAAGTCTTTTGCGTACAAGTGTGCTTGAACTTTTGAAAATACTCAATAAATTTGATCTTATATGCATACACACACAAATGTGATAGAGATTACCGAGGACAGATCAAATAACTGAGGTATATTGAGAGATTCTATTTCTGTACATGAACTTGGCAACTTGCAGTCTTTCTTATTGTTTCCCATATTACAGATCAAATACAAATAACAAACATGTAAACCAACATTTAACTTTATCATATTTTTACAATTAATGGAAAATGTCAAAGTACCCAATTGAGTTTAAGTGAGGTGGGTACAATTTATTTGGTTACTCAAAGGAAAATTAGGATACCCAATATAGTTAGACGTATGAATTAAAATATCTTACTTCATTGACAGCTGTCACTTTCATAGCAATACTTTTTGCCATCAGCCAATTATTCAGTAATCAATATGTAAAATTGAATTGTACATGCCATGAATTATCTGTTTTGTAGAAACTTTTCTTCTAGCATCTTCCAATTGCATTTAGACCGTTATCAATTTTTATCTGCTGCTTCAAAATTTCCAGAGAAAAAGGTGAGCTACATCGAATTCCTGATTCTACTGATCATTGCCGCTTGATAAAGGGTGTTAACAACAGGCCTTTACAAATTGGTATTGCAGCCATTTCACAAATGAAAGTATCCATTTGTACTATTACTATATGCTCAGTGACCTGAACATGAAATGATACCATTTGTTAATGTTAATGATGTTTCCACTTTTAGCATTTAACAATTTTGTAATCATACTTTCTAATTAAAGCCCATTTCACTTTTTCGGTTTGCATGGCGCTCATTCATGAATTCATTTTGTGAATTACGTCTAATATAATTCAGTTCAAACTCATTTTGAAATGTTCTGTAATTTGGAGTATTCAGCATTACCAATTCTGCCCAACCTGTGTTAATTGCAGTTTTCAGAGAAAATTCATCAATGCCACACAATCTATTCA